TCAGTAACAAAGGTGGTGCTTGTCTGAGTTTGGACAGGCAGTGGCCGGGCAAATATCCTTGCAAAAGTATTTTTGTGTGTGTAAAGTTGCGATGACTTTTGTGCAAAGGTGTGTTTTTTGAAAAGGTTTTTGTTGTCAGGCATTTATGCGTGGGAATCCACCATTCATGGCCTTCCCTGACTCCAATATTCAGGGTATCTGATGTTGGGTAATTTATTAAAAATAAATGGTTCCTGGATTCAGAATGGTGATGAAGATTGGGCACTAGATGCAGGTGCTCAATTGTGAACTTTTCAACTCACAATTCTGACAGCTGAAAAGTTCAAGATTGGGCGTCTGAATCTGATGAGGGCCTCAGGTTACTTCCACTTATGGTGGAAACAAAAGGGAGCCTGTGTGTGCAGGAAATCACATCGTGAGAGAGAAAGCAAGAGAGAGAGAGAGGAGGTGACAGGCTCCTTTTAACAACCAGCTCATGTGGGAAATAAGAGAGTGAGAATTCACTCATCCTGGAAGGAATGTATTAATCTATTCATGAAGGATCTGCTCCCATGATCCAAATACCTCCCATTGGTTCCCACCTTCAACATTGTGAATAACATTTCAACATGAAGTTTCAAAGGGACAAATATCGGCTCTTAGGAAAAATATGAAAAAAGTCAAATTTGTCTTCATTTTCACTTTCTCTTCAGTGTTGGCCTTACATTCTTCGCTGCCTCATTCCACGTCTTTTAGGTAATCAGTGCATGTGTACCCTCTTCTCTTGTGACTTGAAACACTTTTTAGCAGGAATCAGTGTGTATTCAGGGTCATTGTAAGCCCGAATGTTGTATTGTCTGCTTGGATGCCAAAAGAGAGGCAATGAGTGAGATGTCAGACCTGTTGTTAAAAGCAACTCCCACATAGCAGAGAAGGGACTCAATTCTGTGCTTGGGGCAAAACTTACCATTCTGAATCCAGGAACCAAAAGTGGGAAAGATAAGAGGTTTTTGTTTGCATTTTTCCTAGTTTAAGCAATCATATTGAGCTGAATCAGGGTGTCCATTTACAATCTAGTTTTACACACCACAGAGAGGGAGGAGTCTCCTAGATTCAAACAATAAGTCAACTGTCAGTACTAGTTGGTCTTTTTATGATTTTTCTGTTTTTGGTGTCTTCCTAGGTATTTTAATGCAAAATCAGGAGAGTCTGCATCAGAGGCTACAGTCATACTATACATACTCACTGTTGAAAGTGCATGGTCATTTTGGAGACTTCTGGGCCTTACATATTAATCCTATTCCTAAAACCAGTCTTGAGGAAAAACAGAACCTCAGGGCTACTGACAGCGCCTCCTCTCTCATTGCTCTTGGTAACCATATGACGTTATTTACTTGGCCTTTTCAGGAGGCCACAGATGCCACTGATAGCAGTCTTCACACTCTAAAGAACCTTAAATGTTTGGCAGACATTGATAAACAGAGCACCCTGCTCTGTTTTCCTCATCAGATGAATACCAAAACCCTTGTCAAGGTGACAGAGCTATTAAGTGTCTATTCACACGGCAATCAGAAATTTGAGCATCAATCAGTAATCATAAAGTCAGGGGCATTTTCTCACAAAGTCAGGAATTCAGAGGGCTTTCATAAGCTAATCAGCAGGCATCAAATAGACAATCTATCTAATTAGCTGCTCACATTCAGATAGCAATCAAAGCAACACAGTAAGCTTCATTAGTAATGATATTGAAAAATGTGATCTGTGCAGTATTCAGCTAGAAAATGAATATCCATTTTCATAAATAGGTGAGGGGGATGTGGTTGTACTGTGTACCATATGGCAGTTCAAAGATTCAGTCACCAGAATCCCAACTAATGCCTATTTCTGCTTTTCTGTTGTCCTAAAAGTAAGGGAGAGAAGGTGGACTCACTTATTATAAAGGACAATAGCATATCAATAAACTGTGGGTGACATGACCCACTTTAGAGGAAAAATGACGCAGGAGGTGAAGGGAAAGTCAATAATTCTGGAACTTTGCTGTTCTTTGTGAAAATTCCATCTCTAGCCCTAACTTCAACACTTCTTTACACTCAATATCCACTTTTCTACTATGAATTCCTTCCTTGGAGAAAATGGGCACCAAAGCACTCCATACTAGATCTGGAGATGTCATCTTTCTTCAAAGTAAGAACACTCTTCTGGCTCCAAAACAACCATCCATCAGAAGGTAGCTGGCCAAATTAGTGGTAAAGGCCTTCTCAAGCAGAGACTAAAGTCCTTTTTCATAACCCTGACTGCCAACAATGTATCACACATTTTGCCAGGCGTTTTGAAAATAATTTAGGGAATAGACATGTTCACTGTTATCCAAGAACTTACCTTATCTCTGAGTAGCATTAATGAAAAAAATAGCAAATATTAATTTTTAAAAATCCTGTAATTAAGGGCTAGATGGTGTGTTCCAAATCTGCATATTTTAGATTTGAGAACTGAACAGAGAGAAGCTCACTGCTATATGGAATGTCAGGAGCTTTTGGAAAAAGCTAGAGGCCAGGAGCTGATTGCTTTCAAAGTGTTATATTTCTTAACTGCTGGTGTTTCAAGAAAATTGATACTCACTTTTAGTGAAAGGTAGAATATACTTCAGAAAGCCAGTACAAAATTGTCACATAACTTAAAAGAAAAAATGTACAAATAAACTCTCAGATATTTTTCTCGGCTTAGCACACTTTTAAGGGTCAGATTTCTCTATCGAATCTTCACAGGTCAATGCATGTTTATAACTGAAAAATACCATTTGACCCAGCAATCCCATTACTGGGTGTATACCCAAAGTATTATAAATCATTCTACTATAAAGACATATGCACACGTATGTTTATTGTGGTATCGTTTATAATAGCGAAGACTTGGAACCAACCAAAATGCCCATCAGTGATAGACTGGATGAAGAAAATGTGGCTCCTATACAACATGGAATACTATACAGCCTTAAAAAAAGGATGAGTTTACAGGGACATGGATGAAGCTGAAAACCATAATTCTCAGCAAACTAACAGAAGAACAGAAAACCAAACACTGCATGTTCTCACTCATAAGTGGGAATTGAACAATGAGAACATATGGACACAGGGAGGGGAACATCACATACCAGGGCCAGTCAGGGGTTGGAGGGCCAGGGGAGGGATAGCATTAGGAGAAATACCTAATATAGATGGCAGGTTGGTGGGTGCAGCAAACCACCATGGCACGTGTATACCTATATAACAAACCTGCACATTCTGCACATGTATTCCAGAACTTAAAGTATAATAAAAAAATGTTTTTTTAAATTTAGTGACATCATAAGGTGTGCTCAGCGGAACTATAAGTTCCTTAAAGGAAAAGCTTCCTACCCCACACACCTTGGAGTATCCACAGCAGAGCTGGACAGATTATATGTCTGGGTTACAAAATATTGTATTGAGCCTTGAAGAGAGGTTCTGTTTTGAAACAACGCTGATGTTTAAGTCCCTATTTCAGGGTCATCTCTTCTGAAAAGCCCTCCTAATCCCTACATCATCTCTCCTGGTGTTCTATCTACCTTTAACTCCACTCATTCTTACAAAACTTTCTTATACATATTTATTTACATTTTTGAATCTATTAGGTTGAAAGCCCCCTGACAGCAAACACTGTTTCTGATTCAACTTTGTAACCCCATCAACTGATATGTGTCCAAAGAATAAAAGAGTGAATGACTATTTTTCAATTAGTTTGAGTTATGTGAAAACTTGTTGAGTTCTATGGAAGGAAAATGCTATAGACACTGAGGAAGCCATTACAGGGATTTATTAAGAACACTTAGTGCCCAGAAGGCTATGCGTAAAATATAAAACCAAGTTTCTGTCCCCAAGGAGTTTCTGTGCTTATGTATGACAGATCACTCATAGATTCACTCTGTAGGAAGTTTAATATGAGGGTTGGAGAGAACAAGCATTCAAAGAATGAAAAATCTGGTTTATGATCAAAAAAAAATTCCTAAGAGGTGTTCAAGGAGCTTGTTACATAGAAAGAAAAGTTTAAAAGCACAGAAATAAATGAGGACATGGTATCTTAAGGGAGAGAGCAAGAGCAGGCCTTACTTTATACAAAGAAGAACACCAGAGACTTAGAAAATGTGTAAAATTCCATTGAAGATATTTAAACTTCTACGTTTCAAGATAAAATTTTCAGATGAAAAGTGTCATAAATGAACTAGGAAATAAAATCCCCATGAGTGAAGTAAGCTGAGAGTTTCATTTGTTTCCTTCCTTTTTGATGTCTCACTGCACAGAGCACTTGATTATATAAAGCCAGGGCTTGGCCGCACCTCACAATGGCATTAAGCGGTAAGAGCTTGGAGCCTGGAGCTCACTGGCACAGCATCTGCAAACCCCAGCAGGTACCTCCACCGTGGCAGGCACTGGAGAAGGTGCAGCAGGGTCTGTGCCTGGTTGGGTTCAGATATTGAGAGGCTTGTCATTACATTCTGCCCTGGAGGAGTGACAGCTGACTGCTGCTCTGTGCAGAAAGCCTGGGTGCTCTGCGGAAACAGGCAGGTTAAGGAGCAGTTGCTTTGGTAGAGAGGGAAGTGCCATGCAAGAGACCTTCTGTTCCTGGGTGTGAATTAGTCTGTTCAGATGAGCTGCCATAACAAAGTACCACTAACAGAGGCGGCTTAAACAGCCGAGATTGATTTTCTCCCGGTTCTGAAGGCTGGAAGTCCAAGATCAAGGTTTTGGCTGAGCTGTTTCTTCTGAGGCTCGTCTCCTTGGTTTGCAGATGGCTGCTTCTCCCTGTGTCCTCACATGGCCTTTCTCTGTGTGTGCACTTCCCTGGTGTCTTTGTGTGTGTTCTATTCTCCTCTTCTTAAAAGGACACCAGCCGTGCTGGATTAGGAGCCACCCTAATGACACCGTTTTAATGTAATTACATAATTAAAGGCATTATTTTAAATACAGTCACAATACCTAACACTAAGAGGTAGGACTTCAACTTACAAATTTGAAGAGGACAGAATTCAGCCCACAACAGAGAATGAGGGTGCCTCTCAATCTTCCCCTGCAGCACGGCTTCAGAAAGCACCCTCTCTGTTCTTCTCAGAGATACTTATTTTCATCATTCAATCAAAAGGGGAAAAATTGCTAATATTTAAAGAGTTTACAGTTGCCAGGTACAATACCAAACATTCCATGTAAGTTATGACAATCACAATAACCTTATAGCTGGGGTTTGGTATTGGTTCCATTTATCTTAGGGTTGCAAAATAGATGTTTTTAATATTGTCCACTTTTAAAAAGTTTTTTAACGTATAATTGATGTAAAATAAACTCTAGTACCAGTATATAATTTGATAAGCTTATCAAATTTGACATATTTATACACCTTTGATATATTTATTTAATAACATTAGTATATAATTTGATAAACTTATCAAATGTGACCTGTTTATACACCTGTGAATTCATCATCCAGTGAAAAGTCTCCTTGTGTTCCATGTTCCCGCCCCTTCCTACAATCTACCCACTTCATCCTCCGGCAACCACAGGTCTGCTTTCTCTCACAGTATAGTTGTTTACATTTTGTACAATTTTATATAAATGGAATTTGTGGTGTGTACTTTTCTGGTCTGCCTTATTTCCTTCAACATAGTTAATGTTAAAGTCACCCAAATTCTTATACCAATGACTTATGCCAATAAGTCATTCATTTTACTGCTGAGCACTGTTTCATTGTGTAGATATAGTTTGTTTATTTACCTATCAATGCACATTTGGGTTGTTTCCAGTGTAGGCTACCACAAGTTAAGCTGCTATGAGTATTCATGTACAAGTCTTTGTATGACTATATGCTTACATTTTTCTTCAGCAAATTCCCAGCAGTGGAGAGGCTGGATCATATGGACAGTGTATATTAACTGTTTTTTCTTTTTTGCTTTTTTCTTTTTTTCAGAGACAAGAGTCTTCAATCCGTCATCCCGGTTGGAGTGCAGTGACACTATCATAGATCATTGCAGCCTCAAACTGCTGGGTTCCAGGGATCCTCTTACCTCCACCTCCCAAGTAGCTAGGACCACAGGTACATGCCACCATGCCTAGATAATTTTTTTAAATTTTTTTCTACAGAAAAACACAGCTCTCGTTGTGTTGTCCAGACTGGTTTCAAGCTCCTGGCCTCAAGCAAGCCTCCTCCCAATATATTAACTTTTATTTATTTATTTATTATTTTTATTTTTACTTTTTTGAGATAGAGTCTTGCTCTGTCACCTGGGCTAGAATATAGAGGTGGGATCTCGGCTCACTGCAACCTTCGTCTCCCAGGTTCAAGCGATTCTCACACCTCAGCCTTCCTAGTAGCTGGGATTACAGGTGTGCGCCACCACTCCTGGCTAATTATTGTATTTTTAGTAGGGACAGGGTTTCACCATGTTGGCCAGGCTAGTACCAAACTCCTGACCTCAAGTGATCCACCCACCTCGGCCTCCCAAAGTGCTGGGATTACAGACGTGAGGCACTGCACCTAGCCCAATATATTAACTTTCTAAGAAATTGACAAACTGTCTGGCAAAGTGGTTGTACCATTTCACATTCTTACCAACAGCATATGAGGGTTTCAATTCCTCCACTTCCTTGCTAAATCTTGATATTATCTGTCTTTAGATTATAGTCATTCTAGTGGGTGGGTAATGGTATTTCAATGTGGTTTTAATTTGCATTTCCTAAATAAATAATGATGTGTTTATTTGCCCATCATTTTTCACTTCTTTGGTGAAATATCTCGTAAGATATTTTTCTATTTTTTATTAGATTGTTTGTTTTATAAATATTTTGTATTCTGGATATATAAATCCTTTATCAGACTTATAATTTGAAAGTTATTTCTCCCAATTTGTAGCTTTGCTCTTTATTTTCTTAACAGTGTCTTTTAAATATAAATTTTTAAGTTTGATAAAGATTAATTTATCAAATTTTCCCTTTTGTGGATTGTGCTTTTGGGGTGATATCTAAGAAAATATGTGCCTAACAGAAGGACAAGCAGATTTTCTTCTATGTTTACCTCTAGAAGTTTTTTTGGTTTATGTTTTGTAAGTAGGCCTATTATTCAGTTTTAGTTGATTTTTGTGTATGACCTCAGGTATAAATTTCTGTTTTGTTTTGCTTTGCTTATGGATATCCAATTGTTCTACCACCGCTTTCTCCACTGACATGCCTTTTGCACCTTTGTCAAAAATCAGTTGCCTAATATGTTTATTTCTAGACTCTCTATGCTGTCAAATAATCTATTTGTTATGTAGTATAAGTCGTCTAAATTTGTTCTTCTTTTTCAAAGTTACGTTGACTATTCTAGGACCTTGTATTTCAGCTGGGAAGAGGTGGAGCCTGAACTTGAGAACAATGGCCGTCTCTGAGCACCTGAGTTGTTAGCCACTCTGATACTCTGCTTCAAGGAAAACGTGTCTCCTCTTATAGTTGGTAGAGACATGATTACAAACAGAACCACTATCTTCCCCTTCCAAAATAATGGGACAATGTACTCTTCTTGATCTTAAGATATCATCCCTTATCCTGTTTGGGATCTATTTTATGTTATCTTCAATTACTATTTCATTGTCTCCTTAGAAACTCTAAGGAACTATTTCTGTTCCCAATAAAAACACCGCAAATGAAAAATTGTTAGGTCCACTTTTATTCATTAACATAGCAACCAGGAACCAAGAGAAAGCCTACGTTGTTACTGGGAAAAATGTGTTTCAAATTTTAAATGCCATGTATGAGCTATAAAGCTAAAGGATTCAACACATAGTTTTTAATATATATATTCTTATTAACGACAAAATTCTGAACTACTTTTCTCCTACTTTCCCAACTCTGTTTAAAATAACTGTACTCTTCTCTTTCTGTCTACAGTATAATTTAACCTCCCACTTGAATACAGAGCATAATTCAATTGAGAGGTGTGTTTATATCACATGAAACACAATAAAGCAGGATGAAGTATTTCTTAAGTCGTTTGCAAATGAATGGCTGCAATATTCCCAGGTTCCTCTCTGCTCTCCTGCAAACTAAAAACAACTATGGCTATTCATTAATATATGGATCCCAAAGGACTTCTTGAGACATTTGAAAGCTGGATAAAATGAGTGTGACCTAATGGAAAATCACAGGGAAAGGTATTAAATGAAAGATGTGTGCTGAGACCCGGAGAGAATTTCAGATGGGGAATAACAGGAACAAACTGTAATCTGATGCCACGATAAGAACTGGATAACAGCAAGATAAAGGAAAAAGAAATGAACTGGGCATCTAGAAAGGGTCAGAGTCATGGCCAAAGTTAGAGCCAAGAATAATACCCAGATCTCCTGACCCCAAATCTGCAGTAGATGACAGAAGAGAAAAATCAACCACAGCTGCACATCTGGTCTCTTGGTTCAGCCACAGTTAGGAGCCAGCCAATTCTTAGTCCTTTGTTATAAGAAACTCTTGTTCTGCCACATTAGTATTTTAGGTAGTTATTATGTTACATTTTCCCTTAGTAGCTATTTTCATTATTAAACAAAATATATTTTTGCCACTTTCTTCATATTTAATGCAAGATTACTCATATTTCAGATAATAATAAAATATCCTTGCAAGCTACCCATCTGACAAAGGTCTAATATCCAGAATCTACAAGGAACTTAAAGAAATTTACAATAAAAAAACAAAGAACCCTATCAAAAAGTAGGCAAAGGATATGAAGAGACACTTCTCAAAATAAGACATTTATGTGGCCAATAAACATATGAAAAAAAGCTCACCATGACTGGTCATTAAAGAAATGAAAATCAAAACCACAATGAGATATCATCTCATGCCAGTTAGAATGGCGATCATTAAAAAGTCAGGAAACAACAGATGCTGGCAAGGCTTTGGAGAAATAGGAATGCTTTTACACTGTTGGTGGGGGTGTAAATTAGTCCAACAATTGCAGAAGACAGTGTGACAATTCCTCAAGGAACTAGAACCAGAAATACCTTTTGACCCAGCAATCCCATTACTGGGTATATATCCAAAGGATCATAAATCATTCTACTATAGAGACACATGCATATTTATGTTTGTTGCAGCACTAGTTACAATAGCAAAGACTTGGAAACAACCCAAATGTCCATCACCAATAGATTGGATAAAGAAAATGTGGCACACGTATACCTCGGAAAGCTATACAGCCATAAAAAAGAATGCGTTCATGTCCTTTGCAGAGACATGAATGAAGCTGGAAGCCATCATTCTCAGCAAACTAACACAGGAACGGAAAACCAAACACTGAATATTCTCAACCATAAGTGGGAGTTGAACAATGAGAACACATGGACACAGGGAGGGAAACATCACACACATGGGCCTGTTGGGTGGTGGGGGGAAAGGGGAGAGGGAGCATTAGGACAAATACCTAATGCATGCCGGCCTTAAAGCCTAGATGATGGGTTGATGGCTGCAGCAAACCACCATGGCACATATATACCTATGTAACAAACCTGCACATTCTGCACATGTATCCCAGAACTTAAAGTAAAAAAAAAAAAGTATATATGTGTGTATGTGTGTGTGTGTGTGTGTGTGTGTGTGTGTATCCTTTCAACATTTTATTAAACAATTATTTAAAAAATCATCTTAAGTTCAGGAAAGTACTGAAAGGAGAGTAAAACTACCAAACCAGAATGGAGGGGAGTGAGCAAAATGAGTGGTAATTCAGAGCTGCTGCTGATCCCGGGCTCTGGGCTCCACCCATCCGCTGCAGGGCTCTAACCATTCACTGCAAGAACACTGCATCCACCTCATTCACGAAGTAAGAGTAAAGATGACTTTATAACCTCATATGGTGGAGAAAGAAGCACTTGACAAAATTCAGCATCCATTCATAGTAAAGATAAATCTCTCAGCAGGTCAGGGAAAGAAAGACCTATGATTAAAAATACATTGCAGTCATGTGTCACTAAAAATAGGAATACAATCTGAAAAATGCATCATTAGGTGATTTCATTGTTGTGTGCACATCATAGTGTGTACGTACACAAACCTAGATGATGTAGCCTACTACACACCTAGGCTCTATGGTACAGCCTATTGCTCCTAAGATACACATCTGTACAGTAGGTTACTGTATTGAATACTAC